CGTTACCTGTGATTACTTGCTTCCCCTAATCAATAATTACTCCATTTCCATATTAATAATTACTCCCTGTACCCTCACTAATACCTAGTTCCTTTCTCCACTAATACCTGTCCCCTGGAAAAACTTCAACACAGAGCGACATACATCACCCCAAAACTAGGTCGACTCTCAGAAGCCTGAGAACCACACAACAAACCGGACATGATAAGGCTCATCTCACCGAGTCCCTTAAAATAATAAATCAATCGGAAGACGCTAATCCAACTCATTTCAATGCCCAATGTAAATCACACAAGGAGGCAACAGCTCCAATCTCAAGAAGCATGATTGAAGGACTCGACTGACTTTTCTCCCATAGGGGTTATCTTGAGGTTATCTTGAGATGATTTCGTTTTTTTTTTTAGTGTCCCCGCGGCCCGGTCTTCGACCAGGCCTCCACCCCCAGGAAGCAGCCCGTGACAGCTGACTAACACCCAGGTACCTATTTTACTGCTAGGTAACAGGGGCACAGGCCGAAAGAAACTCTGCCCATTGTTTCTCGCCGGCGCCTGGGATCGAACCCGGGACCACAGCATCACAAATCTAGCGTGCTGTCCGCTCGGCCGACCGGCTCCCCATCATCGGGAATATTGAGGGACCATTGATTAGCCGTCGGCTTCTTGTCCCCCACCCCACCCCCCTTCTCGGTGGCCACTGGAGATTGTGTCCCTCAGGTAAGGTAAATTCAGGTAGAGATGTGACCTCGCGACTCAAATAACGAACCAAATTGATAACTACTCCAATAAACAAAAGATAACCAAAGTCAACAACCAGTGTTGATTAGTTTAATAATTAAAACAAAAACCGCGAAGTAGAACAAAGTAGAGTTGTGGGAAACTACTACCAGCTATCATACCAGGGAGCCGGTGGCTGAGCGGGCAGAACACTGGACGCGTGATCCTGTGGTCCAGGGTTCGATCCCGGGCGCCGGAGAGAAACAATGGGCAGAGTTTCTTTCACCCTGATGCCCCTGTGACCTAGCAGTAAAATAGGTACCTGGGGAGTTAGTCAGCTGTCACGGGCTGCTTCCTGGGGGTGGAGACCTGGTCGAGGACCGGGCCGCGGGGACACTATGCCCCGAAATCATCTCAAGATAACCAAGATAACTTAAAGATAACTAAGATAACTTAAAAGATAGCCTCAAAATAACTTAAAAGATAACCAACCTCAAAATAACTTAAAGATAGCCAAGATAACCTCGACAGAATGAGGTTCCGGGCCCGATACGAGGTTCTTATCGATATATGAGGACAGATCATTAATTTACCATTACTATAATGTCTACTGGAGCAAGCTCGAGCCTCGAGCACTCATAATGTCCTCACACCTCACAGTGAGGGTGTAGGTGGTCCTCACACCTCACAGTGAGGGTGTAGGTGGTCCTCACACCTCACAGTGAGGGTGTAGGTGGTCCTCACACCTCACAGTGAGGGGGTGTAGGTGGTCCTCACACCTCACAGTGAGGGGGTGTAGGTGGTCCTCACACCTCACAGTGAGGGTGTAGGTGGTCCTCACACCTCACAGTGAGGGTGTAGGTGGTCCTCACACCTCACAGTGAGGGTGTAGGTGGTCCTCACACCTCACAGTGAGGGTGTAGGTGGTCCTCACACCTCACAGTGAGGGTGTAGGTGGTCCTCACACCTCACAGTGAGGGTGTAGGTGGTCCTCACACCTCACAGTGAGGGTGTAGGTGGTCCTCACACCTCACAGTGAGGGGGTGTAGGTGGTCCTCACACCTCACAGTGAGGGTGTAGGTGGTCCTCACACCTCACAGTGAGAGGGTGTAGGTGGTCCTCACACCTCACAGTGAGGGGAGGACCACCTACACCCTCACTGTGAGGTGTGAGGTGGTCCTCACACCTCACAGTGAGGGGTGTAGATGGTCCTCACACCTCACAGTGAGGGTGTAGATGTGGGTGTCACCCACCGAACTGACAAAGTCCGGAAATATTAAACTTGTCACTTCTCTCAGAAATACTTTTACATATTAACTGCTAAGCTTACTCTTGAGTTACGCTCCACCATCCTGTCATCTCCCGTCCGTACCAATGAGACAGAGACGGGCAGACGGGCCCGTCCAAAACACACACCGAAACTACGACGTTGGTACAACGTTCCAACAAGTTTTACCACTTCCTAACCAGTTATAACAACCAATATAGCAAGTTGTAACAACGTTCTAATACGTCATAAACACGTTAAGCCAAGATGTAACAACTTCATTACAAGTTGTAACAAGCGGAAAATAGAGACAGTTTCGGTTTGTGTTTCCAGGGGAGAGACGGGCAGACGGGCCCGTCCAAAACACACACCGAAACTACGACGTTGGTACAACGTTCCAACAAGTTTTAACACCTCCTAACCAGTTATAACAACCAATATAGCAAGTTGTAACAACGTTCTAATACGTCATAAACACGTTAAGCCAAGATGTAACAACTTCATTACAAGTTGTAACAAGCGGAAAATAGAGACAGTTACGGGTTGTGTTTCCAGGGGAGAGACGGGCAGACGGGCCCGTCCAAAACACAAAACTTGTCTGTGACATTTCTATGTGTTTTTTGTCGTATCTTTCCCCTTGAGAAGAGAAATAATCCTCGCCTCAGTGTTCATGGGAATATATTCCTGCTCTCAACGTCAGACCAAAGTCTACTTTTACTTTACTTTTCATTTTGTGGAGCCATGGGTGAGTTACCCATGGGTGAGTTACCCATGGGTGAGTTACCTACGGGGTGTTATCCAAGGGTGAGTTACCCATGGGTGAGTTAATTATATTGTGTTATCCAAGGGTGAGTTACCCATGGGTTAATTACCTACGGGGTGTTATCCAAGGGTGAGATACCATGGGTGAGTTAACTACGGGGTGTTATCCAAGGGTGAGATACCATGGGTGAGTTAACTACGGGGTGTTATCCAAGGGTGAGTTACCCATGGGTGAGTTAATTATATTGTGTTATCCAAGGGTGAGTTACCCATGGGTTAATTACCTACGGGGCATTATCCAAGGGTGAGTTACCCATGGGTGAGTTAACTATATTGTGTTATCTAAGGGTGAGTTACCCATGGGTGAATTACCTACGGGGCATTATCCAAGGGTGAGTTACCCATGGGTGAGTTAACGACGAGTTAAAACAGTAAGTTCGTATTCTCTTTAGCAGGATGTAAAAAAAAAATATATGCTAGAAAACACGTGTAAAGGGGACCCAACTAGTTTTGTTCAAAATGCTGTTAGTTTTGTTTTTAATACTACAATAAAGCCTAGATTTGTAGCTATATTTTTGAGCTTCATTTTAAGGAACTGAGACAATGCCCTTCATGCGTTGCTGCACGTGAATGGCCATTGACTGTTCTTTATATTCTCTGTCTTATATATATATATATATATATATATATATATATATATATATATATATATATATATATATATTTTTATATGAACTACATTTCACTGGAGTATACATGTTAACTTTTTTATATAATTTAAATCTGTGTATTCAACATATATATACATAAATACATAGAAATATATGTAGAAGATACGATTGAGAAAAGTAGGTCAGGAGTCCGTATATTAGATACACAGACGGCTAGAAAGGTGGGTTCCAAGAGCTAAGACACTCAACCCTGCAGACACACACACGCAGACTGACCCTAATCCCCTCATTAAATTTTAAAATTTTTGCCCGAGGGGTAAGTTTATTGGGCAGCGTCACTCATCCTGTGAGTGGACACACCGCCATAGTGACAGTATTGGGCAGCGTCACTCATCCTGTGAGTGGACACACTGCCATAGTGACAGTATTGAGCAGCGCCACTCATCCTGTAAGTGGACACACCGCCATAGTGACAGTATTGGGCAGCGCCACTCATCCTGTGAGTGGACACACTGCCATAGTGACAGTATTGAGCAGCGCCACTCATCCTGTAAGTGGACACACCGCCATAGTGACAGTATTGGGCAGCGCCACTCATCCTGTGAGTGGATACACCGCCATAGTGACAGTATTGGGCAGCGCCACTCATCCCATGAGTGAACACACCGCCATAGTGACAGTATTGGGCAGCACCACTCATCCCATGAGTGGACACACCGCCATAGTGACAGTATTGGGCAGCGCCACTCATCCTGTGAGTGGATACACCGCCATAGTGACAGTATTGGGCAGCGCCACTCATCCCATGAGTGAACACACCGCCATAGTGACAGTATTGGGCAGCGCCACTCATCCCATGAGTGAACACACCGCCATAGTGACAGTATTGGGCAGCACCACTCATCCCATGAGTGGACACACCGCCATAGTGACAGTATTGGGCAGCACCACTCATCCCATGAGTGGACACACCGCCATAGTGACAGTATTGGGCAGCGCCACTCATCCCATGAGTGAACACACCGCCATAGTGACAGTATTGGGCAGCGCCACTCATCCCATGAGTGGACACACCGCCATAGCAGCATGTACAACACTCCCCAATAGGAAGAAAACCCCGCTTACCTCATTCCCCTCCACTAAGGAAGGCACGTGTACCCAGCTGGCTCAAAGCTCCCAGTTCATCTACACACTCTTCACCTGCTAGTAAAGCAAATACAATTTTCCCCCCAGCGTATAATTTAAGTCATGGCCCACGGTCACACTCCCGCAGATCAAAGCTGACGGAGACCCACTATTACAGCGCTCCTCGGCCGCCCCCTCATCGCCAAAGCTCCTTCACATCTTGGCGGATTAAAATTTCATCAAGTTGAAGCGACATGGTTTACGAAATTAAAATCTATTTACAATAACGATTTAAAAATCTATTTACCGTGAAAATATACTTTCTACATAATCATCTTTTATCAGGATGGTAAGTTTAATATACAAGCGAACTCTTTTTCCAGGATCAATACTCACATTCTTTATATTCTACGATAGAGTAAACACTGGTTTAAAAGCTCTATAAAGCAAGGAGTAACTTACGTAGCAGAGCATGCTGATGGTGGTGGTGAGAGCCTGCGTCAGCAGCTGCAGCTGACAGATGTCCTGACAGCCGGGGGCGGCGCCCCGGACAGGGAGCTGACCCTTGGGAAAGGTCTTTCGGGAGATAAGTTCCTCAGCGCCGTCAGGAGTTGCTTCTAGTAGAGCAGGGAGGGACCAGGGGGCTGGAGCTTGGGCTCGACTACTAGGGTCGAGGCCTCGACGACTGTCTGGGGCCAACACCGTCATATTGGGCCGCCTTCAGGCTCGACACACCGCAGCCTGACGGAGCCACTACAGGAGAAGGTCGCAGTCCAAGGTCCCATAGGGCTTGTTAATTCGCTGTAGTCCTTATGGTATCTTTCTCATATTCATACACACGCACTAATATTTTCCTGCTTGCTCTCAAACCCCAAATATACAACAGTATGTATAATACTTTTAACGATTTTAATTTTCCATTTTTATCACAGATTCTTCTAATGAAGTCTAACTTGTCCCAAAAGTATTTTTTACACTAAAGTTAGTTTTGAAAAATATTCCAAACGTCGCCAAAGTTTTATTGGGGACTTAACATACATTAATTTACTGCAGCGATTATCTAGTGAATAGGAGCAGAGGTGGTGAGTACAAGATTAACTGATGGATTAATAATTAATCTGGCACGTTAATGAGATCCCTGGAGATCTGGACCCAAGAATTGATCATTTATTTTTTAGTTAAGGTAGAGTATAGGGCCGCACTGCCCTGGCTCCTGACTAGAACAGGTAACAGATAGTCTGTCTTCTATCCTCTGGCAAGATAAGGGTCCCACAAGCCTCTAACTCACTTTGCCTCAACAGGAAGATGGTGTTCCCGGAGAGAATAATGAGTATGAATGGGTATGGCTGAGTATAATACGGTGAGAGATAGCATAGATGAGTGTGCATGAGTACGAATGGAAGAGGCGACGACTCGAGAGATGAGGCACTTTGAGGAGGACCCCCTTGAGGAGGACCTCTTGAGGAGGACCTCTTGAGGAGGACCTCTTGAGGAGGACCCCTTTGAGGAGGACCCCTTTGAGGAGGACCCCCTTGAGAAGGACCTCTTGAGGAGGACCCCTTTGAGGAGGACCCCTTTGAGGAGGACCCCCTTGAGGAGGACCTCTTGAGGAGGACCTCTTGAGGAGGACCTCTTGAGGAGGACCCCTTTAAGGAGGACCCCTTTGAGGAGGACCCCTTTGAGGAGGACCTCTTGAGGAGGCAACTACTTTTGTGGACTTTCCCCTGGTAGGAGGAAGACCCCCTGGCTCCTACCTAGGTTCCTCACCCCTGGGGAGGGGTGAGGAAGCGTCTCAAGACTCCACCACAAGTCCCAAACAATTTTTAAGCTGTCACTCACGAGGCTCTCAGCGACACACTCCAAAATTACTCCCACCAACTTATGAACGTCTTATTAGCTATGTTTTACTGCTCATGCCCCACGCAAATGTAAAATTTATATATATATATATATATATATATATATATATATATATATATATATATATATATATATATATATATATATATATATATAAGATTCTTAAATTTATGACTACCCATTTTTTATTTGAAAGCAAAATTGGACTTTTTCATTAAAAAATAGGATTATCTTGGGCAATTTATGCACTTTAAGCCGAAGGAAAGTAAATTTTCAGTTCAAGTTCATTATGCAAATTTTTTATATTATATATACATATATATATATTTTTATATATTAATATGCAAAACTGCTGAGAGACCGATGAAGACCATTTTTTATTTATATAATTTTTATCCGAACAAGAGTTTGAAAACCTTCTCTAGTAAAGGGCTTGATAAGCCTTTTCTCGTCAAGAGTTTCATACATTTGTTCTAAACTTCATGTTACTGCAACTGAAAAACACCAGGGAGACAGGATCCCCACATACAAAATACTCAGGGTAACGGACAAGGCAGGCAATGACAAACTATTTGGCACGCTTGGTACACAAACAATTTAATGCAGGTAGAATCTATGCCAGAATTTACCATAAGTATACTACAAGAATTGTTCAGATGTAGTTGGGACAGCCCTCATATGATTGAACCATGTACACCAGCTGGTTGAATGATGACAGGTGGGGCCCAAGAGTTGAAACTCAACCTTAGCTAGCCAAACTAGGCTGGAGACATACCTGGTTGATGGGGTTCTGGGAGTTGTTCTACTCCCCAAGCCCGGCCCGAGGCCAGGCTTGACTTGTGAGAGTTTGGTCCACCAGGCTGTTGCTTGGAGCGGCCCGCAGGCCCACATACCCACCACACATATACTACAACAACACACACACACACACACAAACTCAACTCTGACCAACACCCACAACGTCTCCCCCCACACTCCCACCATACCCCCACCACACCCCCCACACCCCTACACCACCACACTACCACACCCCCACCACCACACCACCACACCCCCCTTAAGACACCAAAGGTGACCCCCACACCCCCACACCCCCTCCACACCACCACAGCCCCCTTAAGACACCAGAGGTGACCCCCACACCCCCACCACCACACCACCACACCCCCCTTAAGACACCAAAGGTGACCCCCACACCCCCATACCCCCCACCACACCACCACACCCCCCTTAAGACACCAAAGGTGACCCCCACACCCCCTCCACACCACCACAGCCCCCTTAAGACACCAGAGGTGACCCCCACACCCCCACCACACCCCCACACCCCCACCACACCCCCACACCCCCACCACACCCCCACACCCCCACCACACCCCCACAACACCCCCACCACACCCCCCTTAAGACACCAGAGGTGACCCCCACACCCCCCCTACACCCCCTCCCCCCCATATGATACAGACAGAACTAACCAACCAATCACCATGCAAATTTGCCATTAATATGCTGAGCGAAAAACTGTAAACTAATTCACTATTTTTACTTTCAACGAAAGGCGAGACTAACAGTTACTGTGTAGGTTGACGGTGAGAGACTGACAGTTACTGTGCACGTTGACGGTAAGAGTCTGACAGTTACTGTGTACGTTGACGGTTAGAGACTGACAGTTAGTATGTACGTTGACGGTAAGAGTCTGACAGTTACTGTGTACGTTGACGGTTAGAGACTGACTGTTACTGTGTAGGTTGACGGTGAGAGACTGACAGTTACTGTGCAGGATGACGGTAAGAGACTGACAGTTACTGTGCACATTGACGGTAAGAGACTGACAGTTACTGTGCACGTTGACGGTAAGAGACTGACAGTTACTGTGTACGTTGACGGTAAGAGACTAACAGTTACTGTGCACGTTGACGGTAAGAGACTAACAGTTACTGTGCACGTTGACGGTAAGAGACTAACAGTTACTGTGTACGTTGACGGTAAGAGACTAACAGTTACTGTGTACGTTGACGGGAGGAGACTAACAGTTACTGTGCACGTTGACGGTAGGAGACTAACAGTTACTGTGCAAGTTGACGGTAAGAGACTAACAGTTACTGTGTACGTTGACGGTAGGAGACTAACAGTTACTGTGACGGTAGGAGACTAACAGTTACTGTGCAGGTTGACGGGAGGTCAGAGGAGGAAGGAAGAAGTCAGACCGTGAAAAAACAGTAATACACGAGTGGGAAAATAGTTTTTGTCCATCTACCCTAACGAGTCCAACACGGCGGCCACAATCTAATAATCCTTAACTTTACACACTTTCTTATTTAACATAATGATTCAGACTTTTGGTCTGAAGTGTGTGTGTGTGTGTGTGTGTGTGTGTGTGTGTGTGTGTGTGTGTGTGTGTGTGTGTGTGTGTGTGTGTGTGAGTGTGTGAGTGTGTGTGTGTGTGTGTGTGTGTGTGTGTGTGTGTGTGTGTGTACTCACCTATTTGTATTCACCTATTTGTGCTTGCAGGATCGAGCATTGACTCTTGGATCCCGCCTTTCCAGCTATCGGTTGTTTACAGCAATGACTCCTGTCCCATTTGCCCGTGTGTGTGTGTGTGTGTAAATCACGACAATTAACACGTGATGAAAAATGTGACAGTGTCAGACCACGGAGGAAGAATTGAAACAGGAATTTCCTTTAGTACTTTCGTATATTAATATATCTTCAGAAGGAATGATTTTTTAGGCATTGAAGGAATGTAACTCAGAAAAAATAGTCATATATATATATATATATATATATATATATATATATATATATATATATATATATATATATATATATATATATATATATATATATATAACAATACGAACATATTGTTTAATTAAAAAATTACTTTTCAATTAAAATCCACAATGTTTTGAAGGCTCATTAGCATTCATCGTCCAATATAAATTACAAAAAATCGATTTGAAATTAACAGTTAACATACAACTAACACTTAAAACATGATTATATTCATAAGAGACCAACATAACACTAATAATTAAAAATAGATAAAAACGAAAAAATTTAAATATACAAAGTCAACTAACGTAATGATCAAAGAAAGACATGATAACATTCAACAAAGACAATAAGGAGTAAATAAAAGTCACAATTAAGATGCTAAAGATTCAAAGATTCTAAGTAAGACCCAATTAACCCAATCATTACCAAATTACCCATAACAGAGTCACACAAACAAACCCAAATATTATTAATTAATAGACACCCAATTGTTATTTTCAGCATCACATTTAAACGGATAATTATAAAGTACAACTTGCTTTATAAAGGAGCACCAACAACACATATTAAGGGGGGACTATACAAGAATATAATGACGCGACAATGACACATGCGAGGAATAATGATAGTGAGAACACAGACAAGTCAGTCGGCTGTCAGAAAGAACTTTAAGTTCTTTTGTTTAAAGAACGTTTAAGAACGTAAAGATGTTTAAAGAACTTTAACCAAGTGGAAGACACTACATGAGGAACTTGTCCAATAAAGAGTTATATTCAATAAAGAGTTATATTCAATAAAGAGTTATAAATGTAATATGTCCAGAAGACTGAGTGGAAAAAAGTCACTATATTGAACTAATGATGGTCGAAAAGCGGTGCTAATAGAGGAGATGTTCGACCCTATAAGCTCAACTAGGTGAGCAGAACTAGGCGAGTACACCCAGCCAAAGCCACAAGCCTGCCATTCTACCACTCTACACCACAGCAAGTCTACCACTCTACACCACAGCAAGTCTACCACTCTACACCACAGCAAGTCTACCACTCTACACCACAGCAAGTCTACCACTCTACACCACAGCAAGTCTACCACTCTACATCACAACAAGTCTACCACTCTACACCACAACCAGTCTACCACTCTACACCACAGCAAGTCTACCACTCTACACCACAGCAAGTCTACCACTCTACACCACAGCAAGTCTACCACTCTACACCACAGCAAGTCTACCACTCTACACCACAGCAAGTCTACCACTCTACACCACAGCAAATCTACCACTCTACACCACAGCAAGTCTACCACTCTACACCACAGCAAATCTACCACTCTACACCACAGCAAGTCTACCACTCTACACCACAGCAAGTCTACCACTGTACACCACAGCAAGTCACATTATGCAGCCCGGGGGGAGCCACTCTTGACGCCACCGCCAACATCGTGGCCCTAAACAACTGTCCAGCAAGCGCTGCACAGAATTAATTTGGTGTCCTCGAACTTCAGAAGGACAAGAAGAAGGATATTGTGTGTCCGCCGAGTGGTGACAGGTGGGACGACACCCACTTGTCTGCTGGTGGTGGTGGTGGTGGTGGTGGTGGTGGTGGGGGGGGGGGGTGCTGGGGTGGTGGGGGGTGCTGGGGTGGTGGTGGGTGGTGGTGGTTGGTGGTGGTGGGTGGTGGTGGTGGGTGGTGGTTGGTGGTGGTGGTTGGTGGTTGGTGGTGGGGGTGGTGGTGGT